CACTCTCTCAAACACAGCCACACACACACACACACACACACACACACACACACACACACACACACACACACACACACACACACACACACACACACACACACACACACACACACACACACACACACACTTGTTCTCTTTGTACAGATTCTCACAGCAGCATTTCTTGGCATCTACCTCGCACACATTTACACTCTTTACAAACTGACCCACACCATGGCAGCATGCGATGACGATGATGAAGATAAAGTGGACAACTCTCCGCCTTTCCAGCTGGGATCTCCATAGCAACTCTCTACTGCCTTCACTGTCCCCCACAGTAACACCCCATATCGCACACATTTTCCCAGAATGCCACTGCTGTATGCATCAAGTGGGCTGAGGTGGTGGAGCACATAAAAGTTCAGGCTGCAGGATTACTTACACAGGACTTTTTTTAATGCTCATGGTTCACTCCAAAGTGCAGATTTTGGTTAATATGGGTTTGTGAATGTTTGTATTCATTTCATTTTGGTGGACGTATTGTGCTGTAGTTGTTTGTCTTGACTCTGTAGTTCGTGTTCATGACTTTTTGTTTGACTTTTGTGGCAACAGAGCTCATCAACAAGCTGAACTTCCTGGACGACGAGGATCAGGAAGTGCCTCCCGACTTGTGCTCAAATCCCTTCGAGGATCCCGATGACGACCTTCATCCGAACCACCTCAACCCGTTTGATGATCCTAACGACACAGGTACGCATGTGACAAAAACAATCAATCTAATTTCATTTTGGTGGATTTGGTGTTTTTTAGTAATTCTTTTAGCTGGTTTTAGGCTTTAATATTCTGAAAGCTAGCACAAGAAAAGTGTTTATTTTGGGGGTGTCAGTAGAAAGACAGGGGATGCTACTCAAAGGTTTTGGTTGTGCACATACCTTGAATGTGTGTATTCATGTGTGACTATAGCGGGGAGGCTCCAATGCTTTCAGTCAGACAGCTAAACCAATGTTTTTGTCTGACCACCTGAGTAGCCAGGTGTATTAGTATGGATTATTTGTTTTTGAGTGGCATGCTCCCACCCACACACACAGAGCTCCCACTTTGATGCTTGTTTGCTTGTTTAATCTGAACCTTATTGTTTGTATCAGTTTAGGATTTTGCTTCCTTGTGCACATGTTTGGATAAATATATTCTTAGACATTTCTTTTTAGGACTTCCTAATCTTATTAAACCACTTTTGAAACGTAAGAATTCAATTGGTTTGAAGGTTGGTATGTTTTTAAGTTCATTTGAAAATATATGCATTTGTTTCTGTGGATCTCGGCAAACAAAAAGCCTTTTTGAATTGTCAAATTGAACACACATTTATGGCAACTATAGGAGAACTATGTTATCAACCATATCTTTTTCTGAATTATCCAAGTGAACTAATGTTAAAACAATATTGATAAACCAACCAAAAGCTAATTGATGTAAGGAAATGTATGTAAAATAATACAATACATCAAAAATAATACATCAATCCAGAGGGAAGCCACTGGTTGTTTAGTGGCTCTGCTATATCCTGATATATGTTTTAAACTCTTGCATAGTGTGTTGTACATGCACTCACCGCTCTCTCCTCGGCCCAAACAGAGCCCCCTGCCCAGCCGGTCTTAAGGCAGCGGGTTGAAGATACCTCCTTCTACGACCACGATTCCTCAAATCCGTTTGATGACCCGGAAGAACCGGAGACAGAAGCGGCTCCGGGGAATCCCTTCGAAGAGGCCGACCCCGACACGGACCTCCAGCCGGACCCAGAACCCCCCAAACCCAGGCAGAGGAAAGGAGTCCGGCCTGTGGACATGAGCAAGTACCTGTACGCAGACACAGCGCGGGAGGAGGAGGAGCAGCTTGATGAGTAAGACTTTATGTCTTTATTTGTCCAATTTCTTTATCATATTTTTAATCTACTGACACAGGAAATGTACCTCTTGTTTGTTTTCCATTTGCATGTATTACTCTTGCATTGAATACAATAAAAGGAAGCCCCTTCTTGTATGTACAAAGTGCATTTGTATGTCAGAGTAGAGAGGCCTATGTTATATGGTTTGCTTTAGATACATATACTTTCCTAAATGGTTTTCATGTCTGAGTAGCCCGTACTAGAATCAGCAGTCTGGAAGGATTCAGGCTGCCAAGCTGCTTTACTGTTGGCAGGCCAAGTCGTCTGAGACCCCTCCTTCTGAAGGGGCACTTGTAGCCCCCCCATCAGGGCAGAGTGACGAGGCAGCTCTTTCAACGGGAACAAGGGCCCTGTTGTTTCTCCGCATTCTTTAACCTTGTCTCCCTCCTTTCCCTCTCCTGTCGTCCCCTCCTTCCCTCTCCTTCCCTCTCCCCTTATCTGCTTGTTGCCTCATACTTTCCCTCCTCGCCATCATCCTTTACTTCCTCCTCAGACTCTGCTCATTTCTACTTTCCTTTCACTTCCTTTCTTCTTCTTGTTCCGTTTTTCATCACTTAAGTGTATTTCATTTGCCATTTCATTTCAGTCTTGAATTATTCCCATTTTACCGCATTGATAGTATAAAAGTAGATGAGGGTTAGGGTTACTGCATCTACAATATGTGTCTCCTGTTCAAAAAACAAAGGCAATCAGTGACAGCAGAACTAGTGGTGACAGAGAGCGATTTTGCTTACCACTTGGCAGAGTTGTTGCACGTAAAAGAAACCATGCTGTCAAAGAGAGCTCATTTGTAACATGTAATCAGTGTCTTATTGGCTAAAGCAACATCTTATTGTGTGGACCCCCTTCTGTAGCCTGCCCTAAATAGTAAACCTGAAGTTTTCTCCTGTTGAGGGACGCTGTCACTCAGAAAGCCGTATATTTTAGTCCTCTCGGCTTCTAAAGACAGACAGGTTACTGACTGGCATGTTTCTTTTGCCCTGTCTCTTACACCAGGAGCAGTCCTCAGCAGAATAGAAAGTTCAAGAGGGCAGAGCAGTGTTTTGACTGGAGCCCTTTCACATGTCTTTTAGCCAGCGCTGGTCTGTTAAAGCTGCTCTATGGGCCTGCCTGCTCTACTTTGCTTTACTTACCTCCTTTCTCCCTCTTCGTATCGCTCTGAGCTTAGATAGACACTGAGCAGCTCTAACCTCAGCCTTTTTCTTTCTTACTCTCGCTCTGACCCCCACCCTCTCCATCCAATTCTCTTGTTTGTTTAGGATTGCTTGTTGCATGTTGAGTGAATGTCTCAAGGCCGTGCCCCTGCTTTCAGTGCCACAAGCATGCCTGTATATTGATAACACTCTGGTATGTGTGTACGAGTGCCTGTGTGAGTGCCTGTGTGAGTGCCTGTGTGAGTGTGTGTGTGAGTGCCTGTGTGAGTGTGTGTGTGAGTGTGCCTTCGTGCTCCTGCCTGTCTGTCTGTCAGTAGTCCACATTGGGCAGTAAGGATATGAGGTCACGCAGACCTGACCTCAGTGCACCTGCATCTTCTATTACCTTTCCACTTGTGTGTGCCGTTCATTGTATTGCACAAAACTCTCGTTTCCGTGTCGCAATTTCCTGATGTTTAACTCAACAATGAGCTTTTAGAGCAAATGATGCGTTTAAATAGTGCTCAATAACTCTGCAAAAAGGATCTATAATGTTCGTTGTATGCATTGGTCTTTGCATGTTACACATCTGAATTGCATTGCTTTAATATCCCTTGACATATTAAGAAATGCCTGTTTTTCTTTCTTTTAAATTTTTTTCTTGCGTATTTTGCATTTGTTTTTCTTCAGAAACACAATCTTTGAAGCAAAAGGTCAAACTAATCTTAATAATTAAATAATCCTCTATCAATGCACATTGCTTTAACTTCATTTCTTAAAGAATAATTGTAGTCTGTGCTCACTTTCTATCATGACATTTTGTTTCCCCCTCTCACCCTCCTTTCTTAGATCTAACCCGTTCTACGAGCCAAGAACATCGAGTCCCGAGCACCCCCCCACTGGTAGCCCCTCTCTGGATGTGGGCAGCGGCCAGAAGAGGAGGGCCCCCCCGCCCCCCAGCTCCAGCTCTGGCCTGGGCCCCAGCACCCCCGCTCCCAAACCCAGCGCTGGACCAGACAGAGAGAGAAACCAGCCGGTCGGGCCCAGCCCGGTCGCCGTGTTGATGGGGAGAGAGCTGGCCTCCTCCTCCCCCAAGGTAAACACACTTCACCTGAACGCAACACACTCGATTTATACCCAAAACAGGCCCACAGACATGTATGACAAAACAACAAACGTGGAAAATGCACACAGGGGAGAACCGCTTCAACACGTGTATTTCGGTTTATTCACGGCATTAATTTAGTTATTCTACAGTATTGTTGTTTTATAGTTATTTGTTAATGTATACAACCCAATTTGTGCTCTTTGAAATTGAAAAGGATATTGTGTTTGTTACTTTCGTTGCAGTTGTATATGTCTTAAGTGTAATTTGGCTTGGCTTCCTATTTTGTATGGACATGCTTTTATTTTGAAGGAGAGTTAGCGCTGTTGACAGGAAGTTTTTGTTGCTATGGAAACAACGTGACGGAGATTAACGGAGAAAAGTCATATCTACATATAAAGACGGAGAAAGTAAACGATAACGTTTATGGTTAAGTGTTAGCTCCCCCTGAAGAGGCACAAGCTCTTACGTGGATATTGGAGATTTCAATAAATTCGAAAAAACGAATATCCGAATAACGAAATTGAAACCCGAATAGTACTCCAGTGTTTCCCCTACCATTGTCTTGGAGGGGCGCTGCAACCTGCCAACGGAGCCCCGCGCCCCCCCTGAAA